CTAAAAAGCAAATCGGCTTTCAGTGATGGAGTAACAGCTAATTCAGTTTCAAACTGGGACTAACTTTGTCTGCAAAACAAATAGGAAGTGTAACTAAAAGAGGGGATAGCTAGAATATCCTTATGTTTAGTAACAATTCAGCAACAGAGCCCTGTGTAAAGAGACACTGCACAGTGACAATGACAAGAATTATGCTGTAAGGAGGGACACGGCATACCCAGAGGCAAGATTTCCAGTGCTAAGGATCATTTGGAGCCTAATGTAGATACTGTAACCAGCAGTATAATTCTAGTCCTAGCCTGGCAAATTTGATAACAACTGATCCATAATTACCAGGCACAAACAGTGTTTAATACAAAACAGTTGCCTTAGACCATCTGGATGTCTATTTACAGAGCAACCAATTTGTTGCTGTACCTAATGCAGATTTCATGATTGCAAAGTGATGCAGTGGAGGGTGAGGGAGCAAGGTGGAAAATGCAGCCCCACTCCTGTGGATGCTCCAGACATAGGAACAGGGTAAGCTCCCAAAGCTGCAACAGCACAGGAAGAACTGAGGTGTAGAGGGTGTCCCGCCCTCCCTCCAGAACTCTAACTAAGAAATCCAAGCCATAAAAAAAGGCACTAATAGTCTGATAACAGGCATAGCATGTCATGTCCTTGCTCCATGGGCTTTTCTTTGGATAGCATGGGGCTGTCAATAAACAACATACAATTCATAAGAATACAAGTCTTTACACATTTTCAACTGCATCCTAAAAAGAATACAAACTTTCACAGAATTGGTTGAAAATTAGACTTGCCATTGCATGATCTGTCTCCATTTTTAATTTATTTGTTAACTGAGAAATCAAGGAACTACTACAACAGTGCAAAGGCAAACTGCTCAGCCTCAGCTCTTGACTCCAGCAGTGACTGGGGAATAAATCCATTGCTGGCAAGGCCACTAACACGTAGTCACATATTGCCCACAAGGATGAGCCCTCCACGAGCCTATGGAGCCTAATGCTGGCAACAGGAATACAGGGACTGCAAGGTCAAGCCACCAGCAATTTGAGCATGTTGGGCAAAATAATGCCATTTTAATTGTGGATGAAGAAGGATTTTGGTAAGATAATTCATTTCTTCTCTAGCAAGGTTTCCCACAGAATTCTGTAGGAACCATGGATATGTACAAGGTATGCTACTTAATGGTATTCTTAATGCATTAACTAAAAATTAAATGTTTTACTTATTTTGGAAAAACAAAGAAAAAGTCACAATTGTGAGTTCTAGGCACAGCTTAAAACCCAACCATCTGCTTCCTTTAGAACTTTATTGCTATCAGAGGAGCTCAGCATAGAAGAAAATACTATTTAGTCATGAAAATCTCTCTTTTGAATAGAATTACAGCACGAGAATAGCAAAGCAAACAACTGAAGAGGAAATAAATTATAAACATGGACTCTGACCCCATTCTTAACAAACGTCCTGTTAAACCAGCATGGGAGATGAACTAGCCAGCTGGAAGCATGTTTGTAGTTATGAGTAAGATAAATATGAGGCATTAAACATCCCAGTCTCACACCAGATGGACTAAAGAGAATGCAGTATACAGCAGCATTCTTTTTGCCAATCAAAAGCAGTACAGAATTGTGTGTGAGTACACGAGACATACAGATTGGAATGAGCCACCACAACCCTTAAATTTGAACGACTTCAAAACCATAACAGTCTTTCAGATTTGATCCAAAATGGAAACAGGAATTATCCAACTCCCACAGAAAAGACAGCCTTCCTGCCTTTCTTCATTCTGCCTCCCTACGCATATCTCTTACAGAAGGATGGGCAAGAGAAGCAAAAGAGCCAATGGGCCACAATTGTGTCATTTCCACGGAGCACCTGGACAACACAAATGGAGGATATAAAGCCAAGAAGCAGAGATGAAACTAGATAGGCTTGGTTAAGTATCATAAGACGTAAAGACATGTAACAGCAGAAAAAAGACATATTACATACACATAGTTACATGATTTTTACTTACTTAAAAGTAATATAAATTAGAGAAGCATCAGAGATTGCTTAGAGGCCATATGCCTATTTGCTACTGTTGACAGTTACTTTTGGTCTCGTGGTTAGAGTATGCCTTGAGGAGAATGAAGGAAGGGGATTATTAAAAGCTTTACAGAATATGTTTCATATAGAAAAGGGCATTTGTTGCAAAGTTGGTGAACAGGCAGTGGGAGCAGCTAAAATGGAAAGTAACAGAACATTGACTGCAGAACAGTAAAAACAGCAAAGAAGTATGAAGTTGAGTTACAGTAAAGCAGTAAAAGTCCAATTAGTAAAATAAATTTCTATGTGAAAACATCATTAACTTATACATCTAACAGCAATGGAAATCAAAACTTCATTTCAAATATTTTTCTCTAAAAAGAAAGGACTAGGCTATCAGATATCATAGTGATGTCATGGAATAAAACCTTTACTTGGAATAGTACATTAAAATTCAGGCTTCTTCATCCGACCTATTTCCATTCTCAAGAGAGGCAGAGCAATGTCCCACTCTAAGCTGGCAATTATCCACCTATAGCAGACAAGCATTCTAGGACCTAATAAATTTAATCTTTCTTGGAAGCTGAAATCACATCTAAATCCTGACTACTGGCAGCAGAACTGCCTACACTGGACAGGAATCTGGGCTTGTTTTAGTTCTAATGTGCCTTCCAGCCCACTTCTCCTAAACACTCTTCATCAGTATATGTGGCCTTTCTGTATTCACTGTGATGTCCATGTGTCCCTTAAAACACCACCCAGTGCAAGTTTCGTCTGTCATAAGCTCTTATCTGCACAGAAACATCAGGAGGAGATCTAAGGTCAAAAAGATACCAGGGAAACGCTGCACATTACCAGTCTGTCCTCAGAGTCTGGGGGAGTCTGGCATCTGGGGCAAGCCCATGTCACCCAGCTTTTCCTCAGGCATCTTCCCTTCTCTGTTCTAAGGTGCCTCCTACACAGCCAGTCCCCCAGAGGAGTCTGGGAATACGAAAGGGGATGAATTTCTCCCAAAGCTGTGCATATGGGTGTGATGAGGACTTTTACTTGTGCACATACACAGCTCCACTCTTTCAGCTTCTTGCCAATATACATTTCATACCCATGCATGTCACAGGGAAAGAGTGGCTGAATCATCAGCAAGAGGAGCGGGGTCTGTCCCCTTAGTACACCCCGCTGTGCTCACTACACAGCTACCAGAGCTGGAGGGTTTTTTGGAGCTCTCCAAAGGAGAGCTTGTACTAAAATGATCTTTCACTGCAACGAAGATTTGGGTCACATGAAGGGAGATATTTTTCAACTTGTTCTTATTCACACTCTCTTCAAAGAAAAGGAACTTGGTCCACAGTTTACCAGCCTCTCTCCAGCCCTCAATGGAACTGCACAACACAAAGCAACTCTCACACCATGCTAAGTGTTTTAAGAGGGATTTTATGCAGGAACTTCTGTATTTCTTGCTTGGTATCAATGTGTCACCAGATACATAAAATATAAATATTACAAACACACACACAAATTTACTTGCAGCAGCAGAGACTTGAACAGACCTGTTTTCAACTATGCTACTGTAAATCCCATCTTACCCATAAATTTGTACCCAAACCCTCCCTGGCTCAATTTAAGGGAGGATCAGTACTTGTCACAGAACCTTATGAAGCTCCAGATATCCAAACTACATTTTGAATATGGAAGCAGCTACACAAATCACAAGAGCAAGGACTCATGACCTTTGGTTGTAACTGTCTAATGAGTTCAGTAACTGACATAAAAACTGATCAAGACACACCTATCTACACACCTATTAATTAAAAATTAATAGAGACATCAAAATACAAAATTGGTAAGGTATCGTCACTGCTTACATCTTCCTGAAAGTACCAAAACTATCTGAGTGGCCTTCCATTCCTATTATTTTTCCAAAGGAAAAGATGTCATTTCATCTTTCTCTGCACAGCATAGGCTTTGTATGATTCAGGAGGTAAGGGGAAGAGGAAACACCCTCCCATAGCACACCAGAAAGGAGTGCCTTCCATTGTGATACCACGATTGCTAGAAAAATGCTGTTCAACAGGACAGGATGACACAACATCCACAGACCAGCACCACCCCAGTTATCAGCCCTCAGAGTCTCCAAGATGAAGTATTTATTCCATGACAAGCAATTATGGCTAATGCTTGACAATGGTCACTGGTCCTCCTCCCAGATAAATTGCCAGAGTTGGAAAATGTGGGTTTAGAACAGAAGGGAAGAACCCTGCTTTCAGAGGAATCGAGGGCGCAAACCATTCAGTTTTTTTCTGGGAGAAATACTTGAATCAAAGTGTGAGTTATCCTAAAATGCAGCATATGTCGTAATTTCAAAATACAATCTATAGAAAATACTTTGAGGTTTTGATTCATCTTCACCATATGACTTAATGTTTGGTGAAGAGGGCCTTTAAATCTTAGAGCATTTCTAATTCAGTCTTTCCCGCAAATAGTCTTCCATCCTGTAGCACAATTTACAAAAATCACAAAATAAATATAAAATCAACCTTTTAATCCCAAATACGGAGAAACACATACCCTGTGACACAGTCCAATTGCCTAACAGCAATAAAATTGTGCTTCTCATCCGGCTGCAATCCAAGAACTTTTTCAGATTTGTGGATGTGTATCTTTATCAGTCTATAATTGCTCACCTTTGTATGAGCTAGTTTATCTACTATTTCAATTACAAAACCATCTCATGACATGTAAGAACTTGGACTATGAATATGTTATTAATATCAGCTGACTCATCATGCATTTTCATGTCAGTCTTCGCAAAGAAGTATTTTGTAGTATGAAGAAGTACCATGTGTCATAAAAATGACAATCCAGAACTAAGAGATATCTACCCATAACCTGAGCCCAGATTATGAAGTGTCTCAACCATTTTAGTAAAATATTAACAAAGGTTGTGGGTTGTTATAGTAAAATGAGAGGCTGCAGCGAACGTAATTTCATTTATGGACGTTCAGAAAATTGACATCACGGCTGCAAGGACATATAAATACGCAGCACAGGGCACATTGGATCGACTGCAGGAACACTGACAGGAGCATTCTCAGCCCCTCTAACGGCACAGCAGAAACTGGAGTTTGCAAAGTACACTGAGAAACCCCTTTTTATAAAGCAGTTCTGCGAACATCCGAGAGATTTTATTTTGCCTTCAATTGTGTTTGCAATATCTTTAAAGAAGCATGTGCACGGGAGGTTGTGCCAAATGCCTGGGAACCGTTCTCATCCCCCTGGCTGTGCTCTGCACCCTCGCTAACATTTTGTTGTTTTTCCCTGGAGGAAAAGTGGCTCAAGAGAATGCACACATTACAGATGAGGTCTGGTACTTCGGAGGGATCTTGGGATCCGGTGTATTGGTAAGTACATGAATTCAAACATTCTTACCTTCCCCCCGTCCCCAGTCATGACTTGCATTGTTGAATTTTCTCAGTACTGCAAATTCCTCTTTGATAAACAAATAAGTAAAAAGTCATCCAACAGTTTGGCAATAAGTAACTTAATCTAGTGATAAGAAAAAAAATACATAGAACTATTACATCTAAAAGAAGATGTAACTTGAATTAATCCCAATTCAAACTGTATTTCTTTATTGGTAGATGATCTTCCCTGCCTTGGTATTTTTGGGCCTTCAGAATAATGATTGCTGTGGATGCTGTGGTAATCAGAGCTGTGGAAAGAGGTTTGCGGTAAGTGAAAGGAAACATGGCAAAAAAAGTAAAAGCAAAATTGTTACCAATGTTGTACATGTATCTCCCTCTCACAGTCACTGAGAGACCAGACAGACGCTGTCTCAAGTGTGGGAGACATAGCCCTGCCATTTGTCTGAGTGCTGGGAAGTGGAAATAGCAAGCTGTAAAAATTGTATTATGCCTCTGATGTTGTGCCACAGGTATCACAAAGCAACAAGCCTTGTTGCTTTTTGCTGTCTCAAGATACTCATAGTTACTATCACAATTAAAACTAATTTCTTAAAGATCTGCACTGTTTTGTTTTGCAGAGCATGTCTCTTTAGACATTTTGTGCTAGCCGTTTTAAAAATTACTCTGGCAGTTGGGCACTACATTCCCAACTCACTGCAGACCAATACAATGGCTTTGAGTGCTTCAGAATTCAAGCAGGGCATTAGTTTTTGCATGATTTACTTACATATTAGTAAGTAAAAATGAAAATGCTGTAACAGAAAGCCAGAAAAATAAAGACATACTTTCCAATCCATCCCCATTGTACTACTACAACTAGCACTGATAAGCACTTGTGAGGAGATAAAAGTATACTAATATGAAACCTGAAGGGAGACTTGGGAAGAAAAAATATAATTATTTGGTCCAAATGTGCCCAGGATATCAAAGCTAACTTGTAAAGGGATACTGTAGGGGTTTTTTTAAATGCCCTGAGTTGTCTTGCTTGTAATCTCCTGAGAAAGACCTGGGCTGAAGGGAAGGGGAGCCTGGACAGGCGGGCCCAGAGGGGAGCAGTGCCATCTGCTGCCAGCGCCCGGCCTGTCCTGCTCAGGTACAGGACGTCAGCGCTGGCAAAGCCTTTCCAGACCAATGCAGGTTTGCTGCAAACCTATTACATATGCGTTACACATTTATTATGCAACTGCAAACTAATATGTTTTAGCTGTTCAGGAGTTGACTATTTGATTGTTAACAGCTGAATTTAGGGAACTTACACTGACATTAATAGGATGCTTGAGTAAGAACAAAAATAACATTATTTTTCTCTTCGTCAGATGTTTTCCTCTATAATATTTGCTGCAGTTGGAGTTGTGGGAGCTGGATACTGCTTTATTTTGTCAGCAGTGGCCCTAAACAAAGGCCCTAAATGTAACAATGGAATCAGCTGGACCTACCCTTTCAAGGATGGGTAAGACAAGGCAATCAGAAAAATAAGGATATTTTAAGTTTGTGACATGATTCAACTTCCAAATTCATTGTATAAAAATGGGAAATATACTGTTTGGTTAAAATACAGAAGTTCTTAGAACTGCCAGCAACACAGACCAACACTTCATAAGGCTCAAGAGCACGGATGTAAAGAACAGCAAGTACAATTAGAACTACTGAGTTTCAAAGGAGCCAGTAAAGAGAAATGCACAGCCTCCTCCTAGGTTACTCTTGGCATGATAAGCAGTATTAGGGGATAAATTCCACGTAGATGAATAGAAGTGATATGTTATGAGACACATCCCAGAGTCTTGAGGGAATTGGCTGATGTAGTTGCCAAGCCACTCTCCATCATACTCGAAAAGTCCTGGCAGTCAGGTGAAATGCCAGGTGACTGGAAAAGAGGAAACATTGTCCCCACCTTTAAAAAGGGTAGAAAGGAGGACCTTGGGAACGACCGACCTGTCAGCCTCACCCCTGTGCCTGGGGAGATCATGGAACAGACCCTCCTGAAAACTGTGCTGAGGCACATGGAGGACAGGGAGGTGATTTGGGATTTGATGGGTGAACTGTTAGATGGAGAAGAAAGTGGTTGGACAGTCGCATCCAGAGGGTAGTGGTCAACAGCTCAGAGTCCTGATGGACATCAGTGACAAGTGGTGTCCCTCGGGGGTCCCTACTGAGACCAGTGTTATTTAATATCCTCACTAACGACACAGGCGACGGGATCGAGGGCACGCCCAGCAAGTTTGTGGATGACACCAAGCTGAGTGGTGCAGGTGACATCTGAAGGACAGGGCCATCCAGAGGGGCCCGGACAAGCTCAAGAAGTGGCCCATGGGAATCTCATGAGGTTTAACAAGACCAAGTGCAAGGTGCTGCACCAGGTCAGGGCGACTCTTGGTATCAATCCAGGCTGGGGATGAACAGATCAAGAGCAGCCCTGGGAGAACAACTTGGGGGTGCTGGTGGGTGAGAGGCTGGACAAGCCCCGGCCGTGTGCGCTGGGAGCCCAGAAACCCCTCATGTGCTGGGCTGATCCCACAGCGTGGCCAGCAGGGAAGGGGGGATTTTGCCCCTCCGCCCCCTCAAGTGAGACCCCACCTGCAGTGCTGCCTCCAGCTATGGGGCCCCCAGCACAGGAGGGACATTGACTTGTTGGTGCAAGTCCAGAGCAGGGCACCAAGATGATTAGAGGGATGGAGAACCTCTCCTATGAGGAAAGACTGAGAGAATTGGGATTGTTCAGCCTGGAGAAGGCTTTGGGGAAACGGAATTGTGGCCTTCCAGTATCTGAAGGGAGGCGACAAGATGGAGAGGGACATTTTATAAGGGCATGTAGTGACAGGACAAGGGGGAATGGCTTCAAACTGAAAGAGAGCAAGTTTAGATCAGCTATTAGGAATAAATCGTTCCCTGTGAGGGTGGGGAGGCCCTGGCACAGGTTGCCCAGAGCCATGGTTGCCCCATCCCTGGAAGTGTCCAAGGCCAGGCTGGACAGGGCTTGGAGCAACCTGGGCTAGTGGAAGGTGTCCCTGCCCATGGCAGGGGGTGGGACAAAATGATCTTTAAGGTCCCTTCCAACCCAAACCATTCTGTGATTCTATGATTGGATTGAAACTTGATGGTATTCAAATAATTACTATCTATGTGCCATTTTATCTTGGCTATGGCATTTGGAAGTTACCTGTTCCTCACACTTCTCAACTTAAACATGTTCACTGTCATATATTTATCACTTAACCCAGCAATCTCACTGCTCAGACTGAAGTCAAGACACATTCAACAGAAAACAAGACATGTTCAGCAAGAATGACCTGGCAGCGTTTCTTGCATAACACACTACAAAATTATAGTTCAGGTTAAAAAGAAAAAAAAACAAGAAAACAAGAAGTATAAAGGTGTATGATATACCTTATTTGTTCATGGGCCAGCGAGGGCTGGAAACCAAATCCCTTTGTCTCTTTCTGGGAGTCTTTGGAAAAATGTGCTCTGTTTCAAACATAGTTTTGGTTGCAGTCAAGAAATCACTTGACAAGATCACAAACAAAACAGCACTAACAATATGCAGAGGAAATATAGTAAGTAGTTATGCAGTTCACAATTAAATCAAAATGTGAAGGTAAAAATTATGGAAAATACTCTGACCTTTATTTTAGATGAGGCATGTAGAAGAGCAAAGGCTGTTCTTTTCAGCTTGGTGGGCAAGAGGCGACTTGTCTTGTAGTATTTGATGTTTTAGTTTTGGTAATTCAGTTGTTTTGATTTTATTTCAATGTACTTCCTTGTTCCCAACTGTAGTTTGAGGTAATGGATTGCATGCCTGTCCACCCTTCCATTCCCAACAAAAAATGCTGTAATCAAGTAAAAACAGCAAAAACACCCCTGGCAAAACACTGGCACAGATAACACCTATTTGGCACACGCTTGACTATGATCTTTTCTTCCAAGAACACCAAATTGTTCAAATGTCTGAAAAAATTGTCTCCAATTGTTCCCTTCTGATGCCTTGTCTTTTCAAATCGATTGCTTCAACTGATCTAGAAACTAAACTGAAATCATGTTCTAGATACATAGCACCAGTGTGGCAATGGAAATTCTTGCCAAAGTGAACAGAACCTTGGCCATGTCAGCTGTGAGAGACCCCTCGCTCTGTGAGCTAACATTGTCTTCTTCCTGTTTGTTCTCCTGCAGGGATTACCTCAAGGACCATTCATTGTGGGACAAGTGTCTGTCACCCGACAATATTGTCGTATGGCACCTGACCCTCTTCTCCTTGCTGCTGGTCATGAGTTTGATCCAGGGTGTGCTCTGTGGTATTCAGGTGGTGAATGGGCTGTTTGGAACCCTCTGTGGGGACTGCAAATGCTGTGGATGTTGTGGGGTGAGCAACTGATGGTTCTGCTATTTTGTGTACTGACCAGTTATATGTACATCTGACTAGCTGACAGTCTGAAAAACTAAACTAGCCTTCATCCAGTGCCACAATCATGTTTCCTAAAGTACAGCCAAAACCGTACACTGCTGCCACTGAGAAATAATAAAATCCTTTCAAAGTCACAGCAACTAAATTACCTCCATGTTTTTATTCTTCCAGGGAGATGGAACTGTCTGAAGAATATGAAATTGCAGACAAGCCTGCTCACCTTGGGAGGATCCCTTCTGCAGCCCTCCACAGAGCAGCCCTGGGATGCACTGGCTCTGGCTAAGAAGATGAGAATGAAGGGCATTTCCCTTCACCAACGTTATGAAGCCCAGACTCCCTTTCTAGCCTTCGTGAAACCCCTCATCATGGAATAAAATAAGTGAAATTCAACTCTCACATTCATATCTATTTTTGTAAAACAGCTTCCATTAAAAAAGAGCCTGTTCTCTGGAAAAATCCAATTTTGGGTTACAATTTCTATTCAGGTCAGTTAGGTAGCTCGTAACTCCTCAAAGCTTCCAATCTACATATGAGTGCAAATGCTATTTATTAATCTTTTTTGCAGAAGTTCAAGTTAGCTGTGTTTGGCATAGTGCTATGAAAGAGATAGGAAAGGCAATAGAGAGCTCAAAGGCAAAAATACCTTTCAGAAAGAACTTTTAAAACTTTAAAAGAAAAAAGTATTTCCCAAAGAAATCAAGAAGGAAACAAGAGGGACTGGAGACATTTGAGGGGTTCAAATCAACAGCTTCTACACAAAATTTCTGAAACAAATTTTCACAAACCAGAAAATGTATTTCATGTACTTTGTATCTATGTTAGGGATATCTGAAGAACAAAGTACTCAAAAGCACTGCAAATTCTTGAGCCATAGGTAAGAAATGTTAAATAGCTCGATTTAGGTACTGAGAGTTACATTCACTGAGGCAAAATGGCCTCAGTGATACATTGTGCAAGATGCTAAATTATAAAAAAACCTCTTTAGAAACAGCTGTCTGTCCCACCTGTTCTACTGCATTGCGCAGGAATTTGAGAGTACCCTTTATATCACCACCCACTGTGCAACCATCTCACATCTATTTCATTTGTGGTGAGCAGCTGTCCTGCACCTCATCTTGCATTTGTCTTGTTTTATTTATATGAAGCCTTTGGGGACATGGAATGTTTCTCATCAGCATTCAACAAAGGGATGGGTAGCTGCATAGTGTACAACTTTGATACATTAATAAACAGGATACATAAATCTTTGTGGGACATAGGATAAGAAATAACAGATCACAAGCTATGATACCTAAAACCAAAACAAATGGGTGCTTCATGAGTTAGAGACATCCAGCTACATGGTGGTTTTATAACATGAGCTAACACACGGGAGATATCGAAACAAGGCACACACGTTTCATCTTGTGATCCAGACTGCATTCACACCTTGGCCTGGAGGTGTAGCCAACAAGGGAGAAGGAGCCGAAGCAGCAGCTCAGCTGAACTCGCACTTCAAAGTGGCAACAACAGTATTCCCAAATCTTTTCAGTTATGGCTAACATCTGAGGCTCTTCCCTGGCACTTAGTTTCAGTGTCAGTTCTGCAGTAATCGGAGATTGATCTGTGTTTTTACTGAGCTAAATGTCCAGTAAAATCAAGGAAAGTGATTGATCATAGATCCTTGTAACAGAGAATGAAATAATAGGCCAGTGGTACTTCTGCAAGAGAAGTCACAGATAAAGAGAGGGCAGTGCTAGGCAGGAACAGGATGATGGCAAGAGAGAAACCACAACCAGGGATAACTGAAAGTGTTAAAACAGACCTCAGGAGCCCTGACCAACTTGAACACAACACTCCGTTGTAGTGTGTACAAATATCAACATACATACAAAAATACAGAAGTAGAAATCCTAGTAGCAGAAAGGAAAAATATTATTGTTGTTTGTAAAATCTCAAGAGATGCCCATGCTAGCTGAAGCTTATTCACCCATAAAAACTGCCAGCCTAGTGACCAGATGACCAGGGTACTGAGAGCACAGCAACTTTGACATTGTGTGGCACTGTTTCAGCCAAGAGCTTACTTAAAAGGAAACACATCGGTTATTAAACAACTCAGATTACATGTGGAGTGTACACATGTGATTTTGAGCTCACGCACTTCAGCACGATAAAACTGGTGTCCCTGCACAGCTGAAGTATACACAGTTAAGAGTTCTCTTTATTGATCATCTCCAGTAAATAGACTGCAACAAAATGATACATTAACCACAGCACAGTGTGACTTGTCAGGGAATGATGCATTATTTAACTGGCAACTCTTTGCAAAAGGTTCATTTTTAAAATAGTGAAGTAACATATACAGAGTTAAAAAAAATTGCTCAGCCCAGAGCAAGGGATGTTTTCTAACATCATTCCAGTCTTGAAAGCTCATTACCTGTTCCCAGTTCAACTTTAGCTCCCCCTTCATGGATTCTACATTACTCATGGTATAAACAGCAGCAAGGCAAACAACGGCAAACCCTGGAGCAACCCCAGTTGTCCGAGGGTGGGAAAGCTGACTTGTTCCATTACACGGATACAGGTGGGGTCTTTGCCCCAGGGGGTAGAAACTGGTATTCACAGTACTGAACATGAATAAGAACCCAGATAAAACACCTCTGACCTTTTTCCTTGCCAAATTACTTTTTCACTAGATCAGGACGCACTGCTTTACTGAAATTACAAAAGCTCTGCCAACAGAATGGGACTTTCTTATAGGCATCTTCACCTGCGAAGCAGCACCGCTGCCCTCCACCTCTCATCGCTGTTTGCTGCGGACTCTGCTGAGATACAGACTCCCACCTGTGCAGCCTAACAACCCAAACCGGGAAGAATCTTTAGCAGGCGCTGAAAATGACACAATTTGCTCATTAATTGTGCTAGTTAGAGTAATTTATGGCATTATTTGGAAACGGGTCTGTGCAGAAAGCGGCACCACTAAACGTCTCTCCCGATTTGGCCCGTGGGCACTTTGCCTCCCGCGGGGCCGAGAGCCCGCCCGGAGCCTCCCGGGCCCCGCTCAGGGCACGGGACCCGCGGGATCTCCCGCAGGTCGGACCACGGTCACGGCCGCCTTCTCCTACCTGCTGCCGGCGCCGCTCCTCCGCCCCGGCCCCGCCGCCGAGCAGAGGCGGGAGCTGCGGCCCCGGCCCGGCCGGGGGGGAACGGCGTGAGGAGCCCCGGGCCGGGCGGCGTGAAGAGCCCCGGGTGTGAGGAGCCTCGGGCGGAGCGGCGTGAGGAGCCGGAGCGGTGTGAGGAACCTCGGGCCGGGCGGCGTGAGGAGCTTCGGGTGTGAGGAGCCCCGGGCGGGGCCCGCCTCCTGCCCGGCCTCAGCCTCCCGCTCCGAAGAGAATTCTGTACACAGCTGTTTACAAGGATTCTTGTTTTCTGAAGAAAACAAAACGAAGCCAACCCCACCCTAACACAAAGTCTTAATTTTTCCGTGGAATTGTGCGTGACTCCAGCCGTTGTGCTTTTAGGAATGATGAGGTACCTGACGGGGACACGAGCATTGTTAATAGTTGAGGGAAGACTGAGGTTTTGGGGACCAGCTAAGAAAGACTGTAATAGCACTGCTGGTATTTTCATATACCACACGGCCTCCGGCCAGGAGTCCATGGAATGCCGGAGGGATGTGCAGCCGCCAGCCCGGGAGGGGCTCTGGGGCTGTGGGTGCGGCCTGACCCGCACTGGGTGAGGGACCCGGGCAGGGCCCGCCCGCGGCTGCTCTTCCCCCTCCGCCTGGGACCGCGCGGTGCGGACAGGCCTCGGAACGGACGGGGAGCTCAGGACGTACCAACCTCAGGAAATCGCTCCCGAAGGAGTGGTTTTAGCACAGCTCCTGGGTAACAACACCCAGCAGCAGCGAGACTGTAGCGAGCGTGGCTGAGCAGCTTGGAAGGAGAGAGACCTTCTGAAGTCTTGCGAGCTGGTACATTAGGAACAAACTGAATGACCTTTACAAACACACATTCACTATTTCTGCCAAAGACACTTGATTAATATTCCTGAGTAAATAAAGCATGAATTAGCAATCACGTCTCCAAACACAGAAGCTAATACACTTGGCATTTATGTTTGATGGAGGCTCCAGAGCTTTTTTATGTAAATGCAAGATATCGTTAAGACACATTCTAACAATTAATTTTAATAAATTATGGAAGAGAATGATTCAAGAAAAATTATTAAAATTAATTAATAGTAACAGCTGAACTGGATCTTGAATGACTCATGTCAAGTGCCCTGACAGTAAAGACCAGACATTCAAACAGAATCCCAGGATGTTTAGGTTTCATGGCTTGTTCCTAAGAAAGAAGACAGGTATTTTCTTAATGCAGAATTTAAGAAACTTCTTGAATAAGGGATCAGACTTAAGGCACTTTTTAAGCCCCCAAAGCAGCATTTAACAGCAAATGGACTGAGTGCTAGAGATTCTGCTTAGAGATAACAGTATTAAACAAATCATAAACCAGCACTTGTGTTGTTAGTGAATTATGAATTACAAGGTGCCACTAAAAGAAACAAGTAATGGTGGCACTGGGGAGCATGTTATAAGTATTCCAAGTAAAATTGTAACCACCATAACAGCCATAACAACAACTACTAATAAACTGAAACATTATGGTAAAATAACCATTTGACTTGCTAAGTACTAATATTTTTATTCAAGATTTATGCCTTTTTCACAGATTTGTATGTCTGCACCTTTATTCCAAGCAGTTCCCTGGGAAGCACATACTAAAACCTGCCAAAAAACAAAAACCCAACAAAACAAAACAAAACATTTAAAAAACCAATATGCATCCAAAATCTTTCAAGTTCATTTGTATTTGTTTTTCATGTACAAGATCAAAGAAATAATTTAAAAAAAATTCCCAGAATCAAACCCTGGATACTGCAGTTTGATCTGATTGTTTGATCTCATTGCTTTTGATACATACAATCTATTGCAAGTTACTAAATATTATAAACAAATGCTCACACGTCATATAACAAAATGAAAAAAGTAAATAAAATAGTTAAAGAACTAGCATGTATGTGGATGTATATATTAGGAAACAAGTTTATTTGAACATCCATCCACATTTTTCTGTAATTAAAATAGACATTTAAATCCTTCCCTTCCCCCAAACAGCATTTGTCAAAAAGTCAGATCCAATCCCTCCCCAAGTTACATTCTAACAGTATTACCAGAATACAAATTGTAATTAACAACTTCCCATTACTTCAGTATCACCAAGACTTATGTATGCCACCCTCAGGGATGGTCACAGCAAAACTGTCCAGTTGGTACACTGGTTGTATTTATACTACAAATAGACAGTGTACATTTAGTACAGTAAATGTTCAAAATCTCAAATAACACAGTGAAATAT